CCCCCCCCCCCCCCCCCCCCCCCGGTCACACCACTCCAGCCCTTTCTTACCTTTCTGTTCATAGACCACAGCTTTTAGCTCAAATTTAATAACATTGTTTGGTCTCCAGTATGTTTACTTTTTATGTTTTCTTTCTTTTTATGCAAAGCGATACTGGTGTTTTACTTAAAATAATGATATAAAGTTTCCTCTTTGAACACAATTATTTAATGAAAAAGGTGAGTTGCAGCTAGGGAAGATCTCCTGACAGTGTTATTTCAATGACTGAACTTGGGACTTACTCCCTGGACAGTGCATTCCAACAGGTGACCCCCCTGATGATAGTAACACATGCCCCTTGAGAAAACATTGATCTCTGTAATGCCTGACATAGTTTGGAACTTTGTGAGTGCCGTACGTCCCTGTGCATCTGTGAGTGTAAAGGCCGTGCAGTCGGCCCTGAAGACTGTCACTTTTATATCCAGCGATTTCTCTGGGTTCCTGATCAGGTGAGTAATCTACTCGCTTGGCAGATAGGAAGGGCAATACACAAGCACCGAAGAATGTATAAATCAAGACTGACATTGTGAATAGAATGATTCAGAAGTTGGGACTAAATAGCTTAATGATAGTCATTGTGAATCACAATGTCAGCTTTAGTATGATTCTAACGATGTACTTGGTAACACTAATGAGGTTTGATAGAATAAAATTAACAATGTCCAAACAGCTGTGTGCTTTCCAAACAAAGGAACTATATCTCAGAGCGGGCTGATACATCCCTTTTGTGGGAGATTCCAGTCAATTGATTTTGTTTTCTCTTTTAGGATATATTTAAATTTGCAAGAACTTCTCCTGTTCCAAGACAAAAGAGATCCCTTGTGGTATCTCCCATTTTAATTCCGGAGAGTCAGAGACAGCCTTTCCCAAGAGATGTTGGCAAGGTAAGTCAGACAAATGACAAATGACAACAGCATGTTTTTATTAAGAAATGAACACGCACAAGGCAAGGTGACAGTGACTGTCTTGGTGACCAGCTGAAATTGGCCTCAATTCCTCTAATATAATAGGCCAAATGGTTTTGGCATGAAATGAATTTTGAAAGATCATCCAAGAAAAGGAATTTGGAAAAAACAGTAACAGCTTCAAATATCATGATTTGGAGATTGACATGGTAGATAATGATGCTGAACTCATGCAGGAGGATGTCATTGGTTAAGAAATAAACTCACTGCTTTTGCAGTTGATGTCCAGGTGATGAGCCAGAAAAGGGCCCTTAGGATAGCAGGATGTTGATATGTGGTTGTATTAGTCAGTTTCTGTTGCTTATTAAAAAATATGCGGAACTGGGTGATTTATAAAGAAAATGAAATGTATTGCTTAGTTTCTGAGACTGGGAAGTCCAAAGTCCATCTGGTGGTGGCGACAGTGACCCAGGGGTCTCACATTGCAAGATGGTGGAAGCAAAGAGAACGGAGAGAGCAAGAGACAGACTCTCCTCTTCTTTTAAAGCCCTCAGAACCACACCCCTGACCACCATTTTTAATCCATTCACTACTGCACGGTCCTACAATCCAATCACCTCTTCAAGGCTCCACCTTTCAATTACCATAATAGGATTTCCCACCCTCTTAACAGTCACACTGGGGGCCAAGTTTCTAATACATAAAACTTGTGGGGACACAATTCAAGCTTCAATGAGTTTTGGGGGGACATAATTCAATCCACTAGAGTGGTATTTACCGAGATCCTATTTCTCAAAAGTCTAGGTCCAGAAACACCATTGGGTCAGCTTTCTAAACACTAAACCAAATCAGGGTTCTAAACCATTCTAACCAGGTCCAGAAAACACTGTCACACGAATCAGAAATGTACCATAGCACTGATGTTGCCTCGTCAGTATATTCCTTCCCCATAGAAAAGTCAACATAAAGAATTAAATTTTAAACAGTTTGCATTTTTTGGTGAACCTGGAATTTGAACTATAGCAGTTAGTCAAATGAATTATCCTAATGACTGGCGCCATTGAATTGTTCATTCATTCATTAAATAAATATGGGGAACCTGTTACATGCTGGACTCCAGGCTTGGGACTGGGTGACTATAGCTGTGAACAAGCAGACAGCAGAGCTGATATTCTATAGGGAGACAGATGTTTTCATAAGTAAATAAATAAACAAACAAAAAAATTGCAGAATATTACAAATGCTGTGAAAAACAGAAACAGGGTGATGTGAGACAACGAGCAAAAGGTAAGACCGGGGAGGAGAGGGAGTAGGGAATCTTTACACTGATAGCTGGGATGCCAAGGGACTGGAGTCCCTATGTCTTCACAGTTCTGCCCCAAACTGTTTCTGAGACCCAAGATGAGTTCTTGTTTGCTAGGTCCCCTTTAGGTGAGCCTGGGCTTCTTAGCTCTCACCATGCATCGGAATCACCAGAGACACTTAGAAATAGAGATGCCCGGCCTATACCCTCAGAGATTAATTCAGCTGGTCAGGGCGTGAGGACCACCTGTCTAACCCAGTCCTGCTCCGACAGTGGCTGTGGACCAGCAGCATCGGCACCACCTGGGATCTGGCTAGAAATGCATATTCTCAGGTCCCTTCCCCAAACCACTGAGCCAGAAACTCTTGGTTTGAGGCCAGGCATCTGTGTTTTTACACTGTCCAGGTGATTCTAATGCTCACTCAAGTTTACAGAAGACTGATCTAAAATATGTTCTCTCCTGCTTACCACTAATACATAATACTTTCAGTACTGGAGTTGCAGTTCCAGTAATTAGGTTGTAATAAGGGTGATCATACATCCCAGTTGCCTGGAAAAATCCCAGCTTACACTGGTTGTCCCGGGATAATTATTATTAGCACCACCTTTACCACTTAAAAATAACCAGATTGAACAGCAAATGATGTGGCCATCCTACAGTCTTTCTCAGTCCCACCACTTATCTCCCTGAGTGTGTTTGGGTAGTTTTCACAAGCCTCTCTCTCTGAGCTATTGAATGGGTCAATAAGTATGCAGCTAACTAGGCACACTCTTCCACATTGCTTCTCACTTGTTACAGCTTCAAAAGGTAACTTTACTTTCCAACTGAGAACTTACCTCTTCTCAGCCCTGTCTGTATTGCCCTAACTGACTTTCAACCTAGATTCTCTACAAAGCACTTGCTTTTCTAAATGTGATAGTCTATTAACATTGCAAAGTTCAACAGTCTTCCAACCTTCCGGATGTTTTCTGCAGAATAACTGCACTGCCTTGCAAAAACTATTTGTTTGTTCATGCTTTTTAATGCCTTTGAAGGAACATATTTTCCTTTTTGTGCCTGGTTGTTTTTATTCATTCATCTTTTTCTCCTCTCTATATCTTTTATCTGATCCCAGTCAACTCTACCACTGGCTGACAAGCCATGCTCTACAGGGCTGTGGAAGAACACATAGGTGTCTTCAGTGAATGCTGGAGAAGTGGGGAGAAGGGAAAGGAGACTGAAGAGGCAGAATGCTGGCCTCCAAATATCACCACCCCCATAAAAGAAAAAAGCTCTCCACGTCAGGGCACTTCTAATTTTATTAAAATTACATATTAGACTTTAGTAAAGAATGCCATTTGAAGAAGAGATTCTGTGGCCATAAAAGTATAAAGACACACGTCTCACTTTTTTTTTTTTGTCCTTTTTGAGACCGGCCGCACCGCGCTCAGCCAGTGAGCGCTGTGAGCGCACCGGTCATCCCTATATAGGATCCGAACCCGCGGCAGGAGCGCTGCCGTGCTCCCAGCGCCGCACCCTCCTGAGTGCGCCACGGGCTCGGCCCACACGTCTTACTTTGGATTCCCCCCAAAGCAGACCCTGAGACAAGGATCCAAATGCAGGTGGTTCATTTAGGAGGTGAAAAATATACTCATAAAGAAGCCAGGACATGAGACAGGGAAGAGAAGATTGAGAAGATGGCAATCTAGAGACTTATCAAGTCAGCTACCACTGTGGGAGACAAAATTGTAATCCCATGGGAAAACTCCAGGAATTGGGATGAAACACACTCTCACGGTCATGCCACCCACAGGGGAGGTTGCTGGGGAGTTTATATACCTGCTGGAATATTCATACTCCAGCAGTCATTGGCTGAGGGCTGCTCTTAGGGTGTAAATTCTCCAGCACATCAGGCCGGCCCTGTACTCTGTACACAGCCACAATAATCTTCTGAGGTTTGGAAGAGAGTCTTTCCACACAGAGATGCTATACGGCATCAAGCCAGAGATGCTATAAGCTACAAGCCTGCTGCTATGCACTGAAAAGGTGAGGTCCAGGAGGTAGGGACAGGACGCTGATGGATTCTGCTCCAGCACTAAAATTGATATAAATACTTTTGTGTTGCAGGCTAGGTTTTTTCTGTCTTTGTCTTATTCTCTCATCCCACCTCATTTCCTGAGCTTTCTTGTGTCCTGTGCCTTTGAGTCCCAGTGTACTTGCCTCTCTCCATTAATAAGTACTCCCTCGCATCCCAGGAAGGAAAATCTCTGCGATTCAACCCAATTCATGTCATAAGTATGTATTCAGCATCTTCTATTTATAGGGCACTGTGTGTGCCAGGGACTAGGAATTTAATGGCAAAGGAAACAGACAGAATCTTTGATCTCATAGGATTACAGAAAACTTGAAAATATCGTCACCTATTCATTATTTGTCTGGCACTGTAATAAGTACTTTTTATCTATTATGTTGATTTCTCATAACAGCTCCATGAGGATCACCTTCCAGTGTGCCAGTGAGCGTAAGGAGACTCACAGGGATGAAGTAATCGGTCCAAAGTCACACAGTTGTGCCAGCTCTTTGAGATTTCAGAGTCTGTGCTCTTACTCAGTATCCTCAGGGGCTATGAACTCCAGTCTGAAAATCCTCTTCCATGGAATGCAATCTCCTTGCTGACAATTGCACTCTTAAAATTAAGTGTAATTCTTTAAAATGCACCAAAAAGTAAGGTGGACAGAGGGATGGATCAATTGATATATGATAAGTATATGATACGTAATAAAGGAAGTATGTATATCGAAACGTTAATGGTAGAATCTAGCTGATGAGCATATGGCTGCTTGTTGTAAAATTCTTCCGACTGCTGTGCATTTGGAAATTACATAATAATATATTGGGAAAAAATTAAGATTAACTAAATATAAAATTATGAAAGACACAGAAGTTAGTGTGCTGGCACAAAAACACTTATTTATTTGTCTTGCATTTCAAGAGGGTGAACGAAAACTAAGTAAGCATTTATTTCTTGAATTTTTTTTGTTGTACTTTATCACATCTGAGCTCCTTTAAAGAAAAGAGACCCATACACTAAAGGAGAGACTTCAAAAGCAAGGTGCTGCAGTGTGTTGGCCCTCTGCAGAGGGTTTTCCTGAGTGGGGGTCATTCCATAGAGAACTGAATATCTGCAGAAAGGCTAGGCAGGGAATAGCCACAGAAAGGGATTAGACTGCCTTGACTGATGCACAGTTTATCTACCTGCCAAGTAATTAATTAGCTGTTAAATAGTTAAATTACTAGAATTTAGGAGGGAGGGTGCTTTTCCGTCAGGAGAGAGAGCATCCTTTTGCTGCCCTGACACTCTCCTTCACTGCTGTTTGCTGAGCTGCGTTGGGAGGACAGAGGGTAGGTGAACCGACAAACTTATGGGAGGCAGCAAGAGCATGCCAGGCCATGAGAAAATGAATTTGCCTCCTAGTTTCTGGCTCTTTCCCATGGTACCTATTGCCCTAGAACGTGTCTCGGAGTTTCTGAGGAAAAGGTAAAACACCCACTCATAAACACACTTCCTCAAACCTGTGATTTCCTTCCTGACTTTGAATTCTAGCTGGGAGTGTGTGCCCTGGAGAGAAACACGCTGCTCCCAACATGTGCCTTTTTTCCTCACCCTTCAAAGTGTGACTGTTTCAAAATTTGGGCCATAAATAATTTCTCAGTTTTACCAACTTTTGCTGATAAATATTTGATTACATCTTTAGAGATTTTTGAGTTCTCGGGCCCAGTTGATTGAGAGCAGGGGACTTTAAATCTGTGAGGCAGCGAGGAGGTCTTTGGAAGACGTATTTTATTCTGTTTTATATCAAGTTTGAAAGACAAGTCATTTATGAAATGCTTATTAGAGATTCTACTTTCATCACAAACCCTTTTCATCAAAACCAATCAAAGCACCTTTTACTGAAAATCCTTTTTTTATA